GGAAGCGTGCACGGGGAGCCAGCCAGCCTCAGCACTGGGGTTCCCGTGCCTCCTGACCCCTCCCGGTCGCCACTGGGCTGTGGCTTTTGAACGGTCCCTTGGTCCGTGAAAGTGGTTCATAGCTCACAGGACAGACCCTGAAGTCCTCATGCCAGTGGCCCAGTGAAAACACAGAACAACCCTCAGATGCCATGCCTTTAGCACACACAGTCCAGGACCCTGCTCCCCAGAGGGTGGGGCCACTTCGATGCCACCTCCCACGGGCAGCGTGAACCTCGAGTCAGGAGGGGCACATTCTCAGCCGTGACTACCAAGCACTGTCCACAGCAGAGGCAGCAGTACCACCACCAGTGCCCACTGCTGGGCCCCCACCAGGTGCAGGCTCCCCGAGGGCTTCACACCCAAGGAGTCAGGATGACAGAAATGCAGCTGCAACAGCAGTGCTGAGAGGGTAGCCCCTGGGGACGTCGGAAACGGCCCTCCCCGCCCTGGTTAGAACTTGGCGATGCTTCTGACCCGCAGGGGCCGGGCACTTGGCCTCAGAGGGCATCACCAGTAGGAGCTCCTCAGTCCCCACCACAGCCCTGGGCTGCAGGCTCACCAAGGGGTTTTGTCCTTGTCACTGAGCCTCGAAGGTCTAGCCCCTCCAGAAAGCCATGTTCTCAGAGCAGCAGAGATGCTGGGAGAACACAGATCATTTCACGTGTGAAACCAAAGTTGCAGGGAAGACACAGGGTCCCTCTCCACCTGCTCATGGGGGACCCGGGCCTCGAGCTGGCTCTAGACCTTCAGAGCAGCTTTCCCCAGGAGCAGCTGGAGCGAGGGGCAGACGCACCCGGAGGGCACTTCCTGTGTTTTGTCCCGCCCTCTCATCTTGCCCCACGCGTGGGCCTCGGGACTGAATCCAGCCGGGTGCTGCCGGAGAAGGGCAGTGGGCAGGCCTTGGCGCCCATGGTGGCTCTCGGACTCTTCGATTTGGCCCAGAGCGTGCAGCCGCCTCGATTCCCGCTCAAGCTCCAGTGTCTTTCTGGCCACGGCCCTTGCGGCTGGCCCCAGGCTCTTGTGGGCACTCACGTGGTCTAACCGGAGTTCAGAAAACATGCTTGAGGTTTGGGAGAGAAGCAGGATGGGGTCTGTCCACTCCCTTCCTGTTGCTTTTTTCTCAGGGGATTAAGTTCCAAAGTCAGCAGTTAAGGGGAAAAGGCCTAGAGTCAAAATTACCCTTGAAAACCTCTTCAGTGGTACCCGAGAGTACGAGTGTGTGGTTCTCTGTGTGCAGCCCTGCGCAGCCATTGCCTGCAAGCTGATGGGTGAGCGCCGCGGCTCAGCAGTCGGCATGCATCTGTCTGGGCCTCCAAGCAAACCAGAAAGTGCCCGGGGCAGAGGGGGATGCTCACAGAAACCAATTCTGTTTTTAGAAATTTAACCCTAAGCCGCCCCAGAATTGCTTGATGCACAATACCAGGAAGGGGCACTGGCTTCCCCACATCGCCACCCCCAAAAAGTAGGTGAAGAAAACATTGGGTTTTCCCTTTCTTTCTTTGCCATTGGTATACACTAAGGGGTCATTATACTACATCACAGGCCAAACCCGGTTCCCGGCTGTTTTGGTAAATTAAGTTTTATTGGCACACAGCTATGCCCATGTGCTCACATACTGTCTATGGCTAGAGCTGCTTTCATGCTCCAACCACAGGGCTGAGGGATTAAGGGGCTACATTGCCCCTTAAAATGTTTCTATCTGGCCCTTTACAGGGAAACTTTAGTGATCCCTCAGATATTCTCATGTCTACAGCCATATATTAGAAGAATTCTAGTTTCTTATTGATTTGTAATACCACTTTATATATGAATGACTTTTTGTCACCCACTGAAAACATTTGGAATTTTGAAGAGAAAAGCGTATAACTTTTCTGTACTTACATCTGTCCATCTTTTCCTTTCTGGCTTTGGCCTTAAGAGCCAGGCTTCGTGATCACCCTGAGGTTGTAGACGTGTTCCTCATTGGTGTTTTCATCACAGTGCCTCGGTGATGAAAGGTCAGGGGTGCTTGTGGCAGACCTAGCACCACTGGCCTCAATTCTGTTCTGAGAAAGTGATTCTCAGTGACCACCTTAACCACTCGGCTCATGGCTTTCTCTGCTGTTGACTCACACAAAAGCCACTGAGGACTCCAGGGCCCCATAAGAAGGGTGACGATTACTGAGCTTAATAGCACGGTCTCTGTACCACCCGCCATATAGTGTCCCTGTTTGTGAAATGGGTCCTGGGTTCCGGTCCTGATCCCCTCACCTGCTATGGCAGAGGACTGCCTGTCTGTTTTCCCATCCATAGAGTAAGCATATTCTATGACTAGGTTTGGTGTGAGAAATAACTTAGCCCTTAGAACAGTGCCTGACACACAGTTTGTCCTCAATAAATGTGAATGGTTTCTATTCTTTTGTAGAGAAAATGCTTTAGACAAGTCATAGATAGGCAACCAATTTGTCAATCAGATAACAAAGGAAAATCAGCTTCCCTAAACCAAGTGACCTAGGCTGCTGGTATGGGGTCCTTGGGGTGGGCTAAGATACATGCATTAGGCACCTGCTGTGTGCATGGTGCAGTCCATGGTACAGTGAGGACACGGGTGACTCCAATAACCTGCAGAGGAGAGGCGAACAAAGCATTTTGAGAATTCAGTACAGTCGATCCTTGAACAGCATGGGTGTGAACTCTGTGGATCCACTTATCCATGGATTCTTTTCAATAAATACTGTAAATGTATTTTCTCTTCCTTATGATTTTCTTCATATTTTTTCTCTCTAGCTTAGTTTATTGTAAGACTAGAGTATATAATACATACAGCTTACAAACTGTGTTGACTGTGTTTTTCAGTAAGGCTTTGATCAACAGTAGGCTATTGGTAGTTAATTTGGGGGAGAATCAAAAGTTCTATGTGGATTTTCCACCTGCACAGGGGGTCGGTGCTAACCCCCGTGTTGTTCACGGGTCAACTGTGCTTGCTTCCGGAGGGTGTGATGGCCTGTAGGGATGGGCAGGAGGGAAGCTAGGATTTGAACAAGGATTGGGGCTAGTTGTAGAACTGCATGTGGCCAATTTGGGAAGAAGTGGGAGGAGAGGTTGGCATAGGATAGATGCTCAAAACGCTTATTGAATGAATGAAATGCTGATGGCAATGGCATAGAAAAGGGGTTCAGGGCTTAGGCCTCAGAGGCAGACCTGAGGCTATGTAACCCCTGTCTAAGCGTCACATTCTCATTCGTCAATACATGTGAGCACTTCCTGTGTACCCAGGCACTGTTACAGAGCTAGGTACATGGGGTGGGGGCAAGAACATTAACAAAGCACCAGAGAATTCCCAGGAACCGATAAATAGAGGAGACGAGGGGACCCCACCATGGGGAGGGGCACTGCGCATCGCCACCAGGGCAGCCTCCCAGAAGAGACCATCCAGGCGAAGCCATGAATGAAGTGAGAAGGGAAAGCAGAGGCTCTGGGGCACGAGTTGGGCACGGTGGGGCACAGGGCCCGGGATGCTGGTCTGGTTGGCATGCAGTCGGGGGAGGGCAGCAGGGCCAGGTCCCAGGGCCTGCAGGGAAGCGGGGGGTGGGGGGGGGAGGAGGCCAGGCTCAGAGCAGGGTTCTAGAAGGGAGGCCTTAAGTGCATGGAGGGGTTCAGAGCAAGGGAGTGAGACTAAGGATGCGAGAATGAGGGAACAGCAGGGCTGAGAGGGGGGGACTCTCGGTCTCCCCAAGGACAAAAGGTGGGAGAGACAGAGGGAGGGATACCAGCTGGACACCATGGAATGGCGGCAAAGGGCAGTGGCAGCTCCCTGTCTCTCTTCCTTGAGCCGGGACGCCTGGGTCTGTGAAGGCAGGAGCTCCCGCCGGCAGGAGACTGAGTCGGGATGGAGTGGTCATGCACGGACCCTCTCAGCGCTCGGAGCCAGACTGATGAGTCTGCAGGGTCGTGGCTACCACCCGCTAGCACTTGTGCACTGGAACTTTCTCCCATGCACAGCCAGGGAGCAAGCTCTGA